GGGCTCTTCCAGACGGTTGATCCGATTGGATGTTTTATTCGGAGCTGGGGATCTTGAGATATTGCGCTTTTGTCGGGATGTTTCGGGGCGAGCTTGTGGAGCGAGGTTTTCTTGGGGTTCGCAGGTTTCAGGGAGGTGTAGAGTTTCGAGATAGGTTGGGTCGAGGAGTCGGTTGGAGGATGCGTTCTAGGAGATTCTAGGAAGTTGCTGAAGTGTGTTGTCTGGTAGTCTTTTGGGAATGAGTTGGAAGGAGTTTTAGGCTTGGGGATATGGAATTTTGGGGATCTGGGAATGTTGGGATTCTAGACGACAGGTTTCGCTTGTATTACCTAGAGGTTCTATATGAAAAATGGAGATTCTGAATGGAAGTTGCTGAAGGTATATTGTCTGGTAGATCTTTTGGGGATGAGTTGGAAGAATTAGTACTTCTAGGCTTGGAATATAGGAATTTTGGTTGATCTAGGAATGTTGAGATTATAGATTCCACTTGTAGGTATCTAGAGATTCTACACGAAGAAATGTAGTATCTACGAATTACTACGAGCCACAAGAAACTGCGAAATTCGCGATCGCAAAAATGCCTCGATCCTCCGAAGGCTGAAAACCGAGTGCGTACATCCGAGCTCACCCCAGCGGAACAAGGGAAAATCGTCGGCCTAACGCCCCCGTTCCCCAATCAGGCGATTCCGCGGGCGCGCGATTCGCCGGCGTGAAAAAGGCGAAATCCGGTGTTTGCTCTGGTAATGGCGGCGCTAACGAGACTCCGCGCCCCGTCTCGGTGCGCCGGTACGGTCGACATTAAACGTCGCTGTATATTTGATTACAGTTTTGCTAATTGCGCGTCAGCGTTGTCCTCTTTCCGCGCGGTTCGCCGTGCCGATCGGCCGGAGCGTCTGCCCTCTCCGCGGATCGATCGGCGCTGACGACCTCCGGCTTCCGCGAGGGTCGGTCGGAGGAGGACGAGCGGCCGCGGCCGAGGGAGACAGAGCGGCCCGTAGCCGGCCGTTATTAAATTATTCTAGCGTAACGGCGAGCCTACCCGCAGATATAAATTGACACCGACAACTGGCGATCCCGACGGCACGACAATCGGGCCCAGGTACGGCCAAACACGCGCCCCCGCCCGCGACGGGGTTAAATTCCTGTTATTAATGGATTTGTTTGCGGTGCCTGCCTCTCGACGGTCAATATTTATTTATCCGGGGCAAACGTTAGCGTTGCTACAAGTACCGGCCGTTACCGGGGAGCGGGATCAGGACAGAGGGAATCCGCGGGCAGGGTGAGGGACGCGCTCGCCGGCGAGGACCGTAAATAAATGGCCGGCGTATTTATTTGGTGAAAAAACAAATTTATGCACCGGCCGGGACGCGGATGCCGCGCGGACACGGGACGGGAAGAGTTCTCTGATTTCCCGGACCCTCTTTTATCGGGGCTCCGACCGCGAGGGGGGGTTGCCGTGACCCTTCGCCCTTCCGGCGGCGTTAATCTTTTAAGGACGTGGCCTTGACTGGCCCGGAGAACCGGAGTCCTCTCGCTCCGCTGCCTTTCCAACGGACGCTGTTTGAACTGGAGAATTAGGGTTCGAAGACGAATTTAGAAATTCAACCCTTTATACTCGATTTGAATATTACATTCGAAACGTCCGAGGACATTGGCGTAAGGGGTTGAGTTTGTTATAGAATCCAAGTGGAACAATCGACGAAATAGCGGATAATTCGATCGTAAACCGGGCGTCGAGTCGTATATCAGAGTTTTCGGATAAACCGGCGCGGTAAATTCTCCCCTTGTTCCTCGCGATGGACGCGCGGAAACGCGTGGCGGCGCGTTAATTCGCGCCGGATATAACCGGCAGGAATCGTGCCAACAGGTATACATCCGCGGCGCTCTCGGACTTATTTATTCATTTACTATTTACGGGTACAATTGTATTATTAGCTTTCCCCGGCTCCGCCATTCCCCAAATAGAATTAACCGAGGCCGGGTAATGTAAATGGCCCGGGCGCCGTTTCCTCGGTGCCGTTTAAATATCCATTCCAGCGACGGTTTCCAGGGCCACTTCGGCCGCGGCCGCCGCTACTCGACTTAAGCCCATCGCGGCGCCGTTAAATATTAAAGAAGAGGAAAAAGAGGAGCAGGCCCGTGAGAAAACGGTCGCGGCGGCGCGAGACGATGCGTCAGCCCGCGCGCGCGGGTCAACAGACCGAGGCCTGGCCGCGACAATGGCCCGCACGCGACCGCTACACGAATTGATCAGCGTATAAATACGTCGCGTACGACTGTCGATCGTGGACTCGCCCCCTCTTCTCCTCCCGGCCTCTCGCCGACGGTTCTATCGCGGATCTATTACACCGCGCGGCCGGGATACTGAATGCCGGACGTCGACGCGAAAGTCGCGCGACAGAAATTCGTGATGAGCCGGTGACGTGGCCGTTAACGGTGGAACTGCCGGATAGAATGAGTTGTTTCGAATTTCTTTTCGTTGTTGCTA